CTTCTGACTGTGGCGGCCGCAATCTCGTTGCCACTGCTACAGCTATAGCCATCAGCGCTGCGAGCCAGTATTTACACTGTGAGGCAGCAGTGGCAGAGAGTGAAGGCAGAGACAGCAGAAACAGCAGCAACAGCAGGCCACAGCTGATTGCAACGCATAGATTATGTTCTCATATTTTTTCGGTTGCATTACAAATTTGTTGTTCCACCCGAAATTATTGTAATGAGACAAACAGACTTTTGTGCTCGTAGTCTTTTCGTTACTTTTATTTTTTTGTATTTATTTCTTTCTTTTTCTATTTTTTATTTAAGTTTTTGTTTTTTATTTATTTAATTTTTTTTTATCACATTAAAATGCATGCCGAAATTGTGTCGTGTGGTCCTGCGGATGCAAAAGTCTTGGTACACACATTCACATAAATATATAGATACGTACAAACATATGTATATACAAACATACATGCATACGTTTATTACACTCGAGGGAAATGTGTTTCAGGCCAAAGTTTTTGTTTGTGCATTTGTAAATGTGGCTCATGCATTTAGTTTTTTCAAACATGCAAATATATGTGCATATGTATGTATGTGTCTATGTATGCACTCGTACATTCATATGTATGTATTCTGACTTGGATTTTAGGCTTATCTCGAGTAGCGCTGTGGCAAGGACGCATTAGAAAAAAGTTCTTTAATTTTTTCTTTTTAATTTTTTTCTTTAAATAAAAATAAATTTATTTAATTTTTTTTTTGGAGGCTTAATAAATATTTGCTTGTACATACATGTACAGATATATTAGTGTTTGTGTCTGAAGATATTTCTAAAATTACTTTAATTTATTATACAGGAGAAGTGTCATTTTAGCTCAGCTGCGATTTTCAATATTTTAAAGAAAATTAAAAAAAAAAAAAGCAAAAAAAAAATTTTTTTAATTTATCTATAGATCCACTTCTGAAAACAGTCTTCAAAATCTTGCTCTTTAAGCTTGACAAGTACCGCATTAACCACATTAATTAACTCCTCGTGGCTATTAAAGAACCCTCCTTTTGAATTATTTTTAATTTTTTGTGGAAATAACCAGAAATCACAAGATACTAAATCAGTTTAGTGCTGGACGTACAAATTTCTTCGACTCCAGAGATAGTCATAAAATTACTCGTTATTTCAGCAGTGTGGGATGGCGAAGTAAACTAACATCATTACTTTTGCTGCTGATTTTTGTTGCTCAGATTTTACGGGTGGATTTGTTCCTGTTGGACTCCATACCACATACTGCTGAACTAAGATCCGCTTCCAGTAGCGACTTTGCTAAAGTTTCTAGACTGATCATTTTCGAACTTTGTTTAAGAAAAATTGAACAAAATGCACTTGAGCCCCTTTTTGGGCCTCATTTGAAAATTGTGGTACCCACCGAGCAGATTTCTTCGTGTATCCTAATTGATTACTTAATATTCGCGATACGGTCATGGATCGCATTCAAGCCCAATTAATTAGCAATCGTTTCTTGTGTCAATCGTTGGTCTTCGTCAATTTCGGACTCTACCAGAGCTATAGTGACGTTATCAGTGGAAAATTGTGGTCGACCTTCTCGTGGCTAGTCTTCTATGGAAAAATGTCCGGTCTGGAATCTTCGGAACAACTTAGAAATAGCCATTAAAGACGATGAAATCGTTCCATCTGCAATTTGGCAATCACTGAATATTTGTAATGGCTGTAAATTACGCCAAAACCCGAAGGGGTTTTGTTAATCCCCTCGTATATAACGATTAGTCAGATTCGGTCGGCTGATATAGCTTTGTACCAGGTATTCGTACACGTTCACGTAAAGGGGTTTGTAAAGGGCGAAAATGGCCTAAGTCAACTCAGCTCAATGTTATCATCAAATTGGTATATATTTTGATGGAACTGTCTTAATTTATATGTATATCGACTATTGCAGCCGCGATGCTAGATACTATATTTTTAAGGGTGCTTTTTTGGTCCTATGATTTACAATTTTCTCAGTATTCTTAGTATTTTTGACAGCTATTTTTACTGTACTCAGTTTGCTTCGCTTTGAGCGACGTATCGCGCGCTGAATCCAATATTCGATCGGTTTCACACCACGCTGACTCTAGTAGATAATCTGCTTGCTCAGAGACACCATAAAGTGCGCACCGAAGACGCTATTGCCGCCGTTGGTGAAGAGAGTCGAAAAGAACCCGAATGAATCCACCCGTCACCGCGCGCAACAACTGGAGCTGTTTAGAAGATTTTGCAGAAGGATTTTGGTTTGTCATGCAAGAATGACACCCGAACGACTATCACACGTGTTGCACGTTCATAGAATGCCACCGATTCCGATTTTCACAAGAAGATTTTGTTCAGCGATAAAGCTCACTTTTGGTTGAATGAGTAAGAGAATAAGCAAAATTGGCGCATTTGGAGTGATGACAATCCACCAGCCATTGTTGACATGTTTAATGACTTTTTCGTGCCTGTGTTGGATTTTTCTGTTTGTCTCTGTTGGTCGGACAATCGCACAACCCTTCATAAATAAATCCTTCTCACTCTCTGCACCCTCCTTAGTACTTTCGGCCTCTGTATCCCTTCTCGTTGTGCCAGTTAGGAAGTTAGTGTTACAATCTATTCGACGCTTCAGCCTTAAATTAACCCTTAAATTTTAAAACTTTTTACTTTGGTATGTAAATGTCGAGCTTTTTAGTATTTTCAGTTTCGGTATTTCTATTATTTTTTCTCCCCTATTTTTTTATGCATAAATATAAATATAAATCGCATGCAATATTTATTCTGCTCGCCTTGATATAAAATTACAGCATACTTTTCAAATCGCCCATAGAATTAAAAAACTACGGTCGTTTTTTACAAAATGCTTTCAAATTAACGCACCAACACCTAAAAAAATATTGCATGCGATTTATTGAGAAATAAATTATGGCGTTTTCTAGTGCCCAACAGATGGCACACCAAACGAATTAGCTCAGTTTTATCCAGATTATGGCATATTGAGCAAATTATAATAAGCAAAAGGATAATTAATTAATTGGGAGCTCTCCAAAGGATTTTTGTTTTCCTCCTTGTGGTTCTTGAATAGGCAATAGTTGGCGAGTCTTGCATTAGCTAAGAATTTTAAATAAAAGTGTTATATACATATATATGTATATATGAAATAATATAAAAAGGAAAAAAAAAAAAATAAAATAAAACAAATTCAAATTAAATTAAATTAAATAGAAAAAATAAAATAAAAGAGTAAGTGAAATAGAAGAAAATAAAATTAAATGAATAAAAAAAAATTAAAAAAAATTTAAATTAAGTTAAAAATAAATAAAATAAAACAAAATAAAAATTATAAAATAAAATCAACTATAATTAAATAGATAAAAATCATATAAAACAAAATATCATAAAATAAAATAAAGTAAAATATAATTTTTGGGAATAAATTAATTTAAATAAAATAGAATTAAATTAAATTAAATAAATGAATTAAAAATAAATTTTAGTACGTAAAATAAAAATAAAATAAAATGGAATAAAATAAATAAATTATAATGAAATAAATTAAATTAAATACAGAAAAAAAATAAAACAAAACAAAATAAAATTAATTGAATAAAAATAAAATATAGAATAAGTAAAAAAGAAATAAAATAAAACATAATAAAATAAAATATGTAAAATAAATTTAAAACAAAAAAATATAAAATACATTAAAATATAAGAAATGAAATTAAATGAAATTATATTAATAAAAATAAAATAAATTACAATAACACAAATTAAATGATATAAAGCAAAATAAAATTAAAAAACATAAATTAATGTAAAATAAAAAATGAAATATATACAAAAAATTAAATAAAATGAAATAATGTAGAAAAATATAAAATAACTGGAATATAATAAAATAAATCAATATAATAAAAAAAATTAAATAAAATAAATTAAAATAAAATAAAATCAAAATAAATTAGAAAAATAAAATGAAAAGAATAAAAATAAAAACCCAAATAAAATAAAACAAATTAAAATAATATAAAACAAAGATATAATATAAAATATATACAAAATTAAAGTAAATAATTTCAAATTGAATAAAATATCAACTCACCTTCGAAATGATGTTTTAGTTTAGTAAATAAAAGTTTTTCGTTTTTTCAGCTGAAATATCTTGCATTTTATTCTACGTATTTCAATATTCGTGTAGACATTTTAAATTAAATAAAACAATCAATAAACCGTTATTGGAGTTTAACGTAAATTTTTACTTGGTATTTGTGTTAGCAAAAAGCATAAGAAAAATTATGTATGTGTGCGTAGAATTCAATGAATCTATTAATTAAAAACCAATTTCGTTGGCTGGAATTAAATACAAATTGTAATTGAAATGGTTGTTATAGTCAAGTTTGCAATTATAAAACTTTTATTTTGAGCAAACCAAATTGTTACATTAAATTTTAAATTTAGCGTACACCGGTATTTTCTTACTTTTTCAAGTTTTTTTTTTTTTTTTAATCAATAAACAAGTTTTATTTAGTCTATAATTATTTATAAGTACTTTTTTGCCATAAAGGATCGTGTAATTTTTTATAAATTTTTTTTTGTAACAAATGATAAAGGATTTCGTTGTACACATAAATACATACACACATGCATGTACGTATTATATTTAAATTTTCTTTTAAATAATAATTATTCGTTACTTTTTAAAATTAAATATATATATATTTTTAAATTTATTTAAAGTTGATGTTTTTTTTCGAAAAAAAAATAATAATAATAATAATGCCTCACTTTCACTTAACGGTTACTGTGAGTTAACTGCCCTCTCTCTACTTCACTCTCCTCTTCCTTATGTGTGACCAGTTTTATTTGTAGTATCGTATGTAGCCGCAGAGTTACTTAGTTGAACCATTTTAAAACACGAATTTACATACACATATATGTATATACATATAAATAAATGAATATGTATATATATACATACATATACACATTGGTTTTTTATGCCTCTCTCAGAGCAGCACACAATTGTTGTCCTGTCGACAGCGTCGTCTCAAACAACTGCGCGAACCCATTTCGTACATAAAATCCGGATTGCTTATATAATGCTGGTTCAGTAACTGACTGCCCAGCAGCGGTGATAAACGTAATTGTTGTTGGGAGCGATAAAATTGTTGCGGTGATGCTGGCAATGTATTACAATTATGTTGCCTTGGCAGGGTTTGTTGGTGTGTATATGGTTGTGGTGTTTGTTGATTTTGTTGTTGTTGCTGTTGTTGTTGGTATTGGTGATGTTGATGTTGGGTTAGTCGACTGAGGGCAGGGCTGGGCAGTATAATTGTGCTAATACTACTCTGGCCTCATATACCTTGTAAATAGCGTCGCAGCTCTTCTTCGGTGTCGAATATCATGACGGGGAATGGTGAGCCTGGTACAAATTCACCAGCCCATTTCACTTCGACGCGATAATCGCCCGGCTCAGTGGGATCGTACTGAAACAGAGAGATGAGAAGAGAAGAATTATGTGTTTTTTCAAGAGAGATCTTTGAATTCTTTTTCTTACCTTGCAGAGTATGGTGCGGTCTTTTTGACTCTCACGCTGCATTTCCACGCGGAAGGCACCTTTGGGACCACGTACACGCACGGTCAATTGGCCGGCACCGGCGCCGCGTGTATCGCAGATGAAACGTGATTGGAATGTGGCCAGAACGCCATGTTCAATACCGGGTCCATAAACGCGTACCTGAGGAAGAACAGAATTTAAGAAGAATTTGCTTATTCTCAATAAATAGAGGAGGGGATTTCTCTAGTGCTTTGTTAGAAAGGTGAGCCCGAAGGCAGAAGAAAGAACTGGCTTATGTGTGGACTGAGTCAGATACTCAAAGATCTTGGCTCCAACAAACAGGACTGAGAGACACACTAACTTTTGGTTAAATATTTTGGACATTTGGGATTTTTCGGGCAGCCGTACATCTTTCCCAAGCTTCAAAGAGGATTCTATTTGCTTCATTTAAAGCTCAGGTACCAAACCATTAAAGGTCTACATATGTAGTTGCTCACCTTACTGGCATCGGGTGCTCCGGCGACTTTGAGGGCAAACGGCGAGCCGGGCACATTTTGTCCACCGTACTTGATGGTCAGCAAGTGTCTGCCCGGCTCTTGTGGCTTGATGTTCAGCGTAAATGTGGCATCACCGTGGTCGTACAACTCACAGTAAGCTACTTTACGTGGACCAGCACAATGGGCGGTCAATTCACCGGGACCAGCGCGACGTGTATCAATCCATGATTTGATATCTTTACCGACAATACCGTGACGGAGACCTTCACCCGAACAGATAACTTTCGAAGCGTCCATCGATGAACCGACGGCAACTGTGAGTGGACAACCTTTGACCAGCCGACCATTCCATTTTACCGAAAGTGTAAGCGGTCCCGACGATGACTTTTGCGGTGTGTAGGACGCCAACCAGATATTCTCTGTTGGCCGCGGTTGCGCCAAGCTGACGGGCACAGAAGTGTTATCTTGATGTACTAATATGACTTCAGGTCGACCAGCTGGAGCATTTGTGGCATCGATGGTGAAATGTGCCGCCTCCCCAGCTTGTGCCGCAGCTAGACCACGACCTGTAAGCATGACCTTATCGGCCGCTTGCTGACCTGTAACGAAGGCGCTACGTGGGCATTGCACAATTGTTAGGCCACTCCATGTTAGATCCAAATCATGTTCGCCCGGCGCTAAGCTATCAGCCGAGATGTAGAGACGCATTTTCCCATCACTTAACTTGTCCACGGGTATCTCAATGCCATCAATGGAGCAGGCCAACTCGCCAGGGCCGGCGTTTTCAACGTCAAAAACTATACGCGCTGGTAAGATGAGACGACCATCGTGATCTAGTAGTGTGCCCCAACCGCCGACGGGTGTGATCTTTGACGTCTCCACACAGGAGATGCTCCACGGCGAGCCAGGCAAATTACCACGATTCGGACAGCTGGCGCGTATCTCGTAATGACCAACGGAGAGTATGGTATATGAAATACGCCACTCATTATTGCCCAGGGCCTGTAAGAAGAGGAAAGGTATGCTCAGTAAATAGTCAAAGCTCGGAAGCTGTTCGCACATACCTTAATTTTCGGTTCAATGCGTTCACCAAACTCATCCACGCGTTCGATCTGCACATTCGGCGCAATGGGGCAATAGACAATGAATGAGGCCTCCTTGTTGCGCTGACATACCTCCAAACCATTGCCCGAGGCCCTTGTATCGGTCTTCACGCCTGTGGCTGAAGCGGTAAAAGTAAAAGGTGAACTCTGCACGGTCTCACCGCCATACATGACTGTCAGTTTGTAAGCACCCGGTTGGGATGGCACGAATTCCACGCTGTAGATACCCTCTGACTGCTCGGTGATGTGTACTGGCAGATTTTGATTGGTTGGCGACACGGCGAAAGCCTCTAATTCGGCAATACCAGCATTTTCGGTGCGCACTGCGAGAGCGAGAGGTGAAATTAAAAATATTAAGGTGGAAATAGTTGAGTTTTTCACCATACCTGTAAAGCAGATGGGACTGTGTAATGCTAATTGACCCTTGGGTACACCCTGCACGCTGACACGGCTGGTATCAAAGGCCTCGCAAGTGAACGGACTACCTGGCAATGGCTTAGATTGGTGGAGTACCTCTGAAAAGGTGAATGTAATGATAGATAATTAAGATATATACAGGTAATATTATTCCAGTGTAAGCAGTACTCACCAATGATACTCTGCCCTGGCTTGGTTATGGTGAACTCGGCTTGCAAGTGGCCGCTCTTAGTTTGATAGCAACGTACCGGCAGCGCTTGACCGCCTGGACCCGATACCACCACATCGAACTCACGCGCCGGCCGCTTGACGGTATCGATAGCGAATGATGTGGTCTTGCCCACACGAGCCTGATACAAACCTAAACCAGATACGCTGATCTCCTTGCCCACATTTGCGGGTAGCACATTGATCTCTAGCGGCTTCAGCGATATAGGCACTTCATTGAAGAGTATAGTAATTTTGTGGGGTGCCACGCACGTGGGATGATAGACGATCTCGTACACGCCCGTCTTCGTCGGACCACGTATGGAGTGTGGTACCTCAGCAGCGCCACATTTAACCAGCGCTGATAGCTCACCCTGTCCTGCCTCGTTGAGAGATACCGAGATGCTGGCTGGTTGCTGGCAGATTGCCTCTCCTACTTCGGTAATTTTCACCAATGACGGATCAAATACGGTGAGCGTACGTGTGCCGATGTGTTGACGTGTATCCCGATCGATAAAACGTATAAGATAGTTGCCGGTCATGTGCGTACGGAACTCAGCCGTTTGTCGGGTGATGGTATAGGGCACTGGCTTGTGATCAGGTCCCATAATTTCGGCGATTTGATCATCTGTGGGGAAGTCAATGGTAGCCAAGCTGCCGATCTGTATGTGTTGTGTAGTCTGTTGTATATCGATGCGGAATGGACTGCCGTCCACGGGCACTTCATTGAATGTGATATTCACATAGTGAGGCTCTGTTGTCTGCGGCACAAAAGTCACGTCATAGAGGCCACGTGCGCAGGCAACCACTTCAGCCTTAACAGTGCTCGTATCTGTGGAGACAACCAGCTCCAGCGTGCCTTCTCCAGCGCCAGCGGCATCTACACTGAAAGTAACAGGCACACCTAAAGCGGCTGGACCGTACTGCTGATCCAAACCGCTGATGCTGACACGTGAAACATCAAAGACATTGCAAGAGAAGGGCGAACCGTTGATGTGCTTATCATTGGCGGTGACACTGATCAAATGACGACCCACCACTGTGGGCTGGAAGGAAGCTGTGTAGGCATCGCCACCTTGTGGACTCAGCTGGCAAATGATATTATCACCGGTTGGCGTAGTGACAAAAACTTGTGGCTCAACACCTTCGAAACCCTCCAATTCGAATGTATTATCCAGCTTGATAGCGGCTTGCTTGAGACCCTCACCTGTGGCTAAAGCATGCGGCAAACTAATGGGCGCTGATGCAATTTGACAAGTGAAAGGCGAACCTGGCACCGGATGACCATTGAAACGTACCGAGAGCGAATGTGGCGCGGCCTCAGTTGGCTTGAAGTTAACCTTGAAACGCGCATTACCCTCGGATTGTACATAGTTGGGCACATTCTTGCCATTAACTGCGACGATTATCTCCAAATTACCTGCACCAGCTTGACTGGCGTTAATGCCGAAACTCACACTCTTACCAACAACACCAGGACGTATATCGGTGACAATGACTTTCTCGGCTGAATATGATTTCAGCAAGAAGGGGCTACCCTCGACATGACCACCACCGGGCAAACGCACTTCCACCGAATGATCGCCCACCTCGACGGGCTCGAACTTAATATTATAGCCGATATTCTCTACAGGATCAATCTTCACCGGCACGCTACGTCTAGCCGGACCGAGCACTTCTACACTCGGCTCACTATCCGATTCGACGACAAACTCAAAGAGACGCCCAACACTAACTTTATCCAAGGTCTCTGGTGATTGTATGCGTGCAGCGGCCGATACACGACACGTGAATGGCGAGCCGGGCACATCCTGACCGTTGAAACGTAGCTCGACAGTATGATTTTGTGCATCACGCGGTGTAAAACTGATCGCATAGGTGTGTTGACCCTGTGCTTGTGCCGATGTTGGCACACGCCCGCCGTTGACAGTCACTTCCAAATTGCCTGGACCGGCTTGTGAGGTCTCGACAAGGAAAGTGACGGCTTTGCCGACAGTGCCATTGCTAACATTCTTCACTTTGATGGCGTTCACGTCGTAAACCTATATGGAATGGATGGATGGGAGAAGAGTAAGGTTAGTTAATACATGGGCTCGGCTTAGACTTGGTATTGGCGCCAGTCTAAATAAAGCAGCTGCATGCATACCGTAATTAAATTTGATTGTAATGAAGCCGCTTTGACTTAGACTGCGTTCTGAGTATCTAAAATGAGTACGATACAATTGCGTGATCCTACCTTGGCTGCATACGGACTACCCGCGGTGGACAAACCGTTGACTGTGACATTCACACGATGTTCGCCGACAACGCGTGGCACGAACTCGGCCTTGAAGATACCGTCGGAGGTTTGGTGGACTTGTGCGGGCACTGATTGGCCGGCAGGTCCTGTTGAGTCGCGGCAAATTGTTCGTTGAGTTTTTGTTTTTGGTTTAATAGTTTTTGTTCAAAGTTTTTTAATTAATTTATTTATTATTTTTTTCAATTTTTATGTTATGGCATTACGTTACGTTGCGCGCACATGGCATAGAGTTAACCGTTGTAATTATTTGGTTTTTGTTGAAATTTGCAAAATACGGGTAAATTATATTTTGTTTAGCAGAAGCAAATACGGTTGGTTAGTTGGAGTTGTTGTTATTTTTTTTATGTTTTTTTTTGCAATTTTTAGTTTATCATTAAGGATTTTGGCATGTAAGTGTGTTTGGTTTAAAAATGAATGAATGAGAAAAAATTTGGAAAAAAAGCATGATTAGTTTTATTAAAAAAAATGTTTCGTAGATATGAAATGAGCGTAGTCCGGGGTGTTTTAAGCGGAGTAGTTAAGTGTTTTGGGCTTTTAAAATATTATTTACTACTTATTTTGCTAAAAATATATGTACATATATGCAAAACTTTCAATTTGCTTGGTTAGTAAACTAGCGGACAGCAAAAGTGGAAGGAGTTCAATATCTCTTTTTACCAATTAAATATTTCAATAAAAATATGTATGAAATTACTGTTTTTTTTAATATAGTACAATAAAATAAAATAAAAACTTTATTTAATTAATATTGAATTATATTACATAAGAATTAAATAAAAAAATTTTAAAATTTAATAAAACAAATAAAATGTATTAAATTAAAATTAAACAAAATGAAATTATTAATTTAGAAAAATCAAAAAAAAAGACAAAATATAATATAATAAAAAAAAGTAAAAAAAATGAGAAAAATTTGAAAAATAATCTTAAAACTAAATAAAACAACCAAATAAAATAAATTTATTTAATTTAAATTAAACAAAATGAAATTATTAAATTCGTAAAAGTAAAAAAATATGACAAAATAAAATAAAATAAAATAAAAAAATTAAAAGAAATTATGAGAAAATAAAATAAAATAAAATCAAATACAACAAAAGAATAAATAACTTCACTTAATTAAAATTAACAAAATCAAATTATTGATTCAGAAAAATTAAAAAAGGCAAAATAAAAAATATATATAAAAAATTAAAGAAATTGTAATAAATTATTATAAAGTCAAAATTTTAAAGTAAAAGAGAATAGCAGAAATATATATATAATATAAATCAAACAAATTTAGGGTTATCCATTTTGCGGTTTCCAAAATAATCCTAAGTTAAATACATTTAAAATTATTTTTTCCCTGAAACTCGTTTTTAATTAAAAACTTGGTGCCTTGGCATCATATTTGAAAGAAAACATCAATCAATCTTAGCAAACTTCATTCTATTTTAAGTAATTTTCGACCACTTTTTGGTGCGTTATTCTGTATCTCTTTCATAACTTGACGACTGTTGGTTTTCAGGCACTCAAGAGTTAAGGGTTTATCCGCATAAACACGATCTTTCGCATGACCAATTTACATAACCGAGACGAGTCGAAAAAGGTCAGCTCTGGTTTGACAGTGACGGCCTCGGCGTGGTCGTTTTCAACACAGTATTTTCCAATCACACCTCAGGACCAAAGAGCGTATCAGACAGTGTTTTTTCTTTGTTGTTATCATGGTCTGTGTTCAATTATTTAAGGATTTTCGGAGCATCGAATGCAAACTATTTACGTATCGATGAGTGAAAAATGTGCCTCGTCTCTAAAAGAAAGTCTGGGTGGGTCTCCAACAAATTGAGGGACCTACAGTTTATACTAAGCCACCTTCGAACGGTTGATATTTTTTTTTATGAGAAGCTTTATTTCATGACAGAAATACACTAGGAGATTTTAACATTCCCTGCCGTGGGGCGAGTACAATTAGAAAAATTAACTTGACAAGCGATTTAAAAAAAAAAAATAATTAAAATAAAAGAAAGTAAAAAAAATGTATAAATAAATTAAAATAAAATAAAAATGAAATAAAAATAAAACTAATATAAAGAAAAAATTTAAATAAAATATAGTAAAGTTTTTCTATCTTTTTTATTTACATGACTAGAAAAATTAGATGGAAAACGGAAACCTACCCCTTATTTTATTAGAAAAATAAAATTTAAAGATTATTAATATTAAAGAAGATAAAATATCAAAAGTTTTATGACTTTTAATTGACCTCTTGTATTTCAAATATACTTTTCATAAAATTAAAGGAATTTAAAAATCATGCTTTCATGATTTATTTGAGACCTTGCCCCATCACTAACTGCTAAGTGATCGAAATTACCTAATTTTTTGTAAACTCCTAATTCCATGACTCAGAATCTTCTCACAGAAAAATTAAAAGATTGCTGCTGACATAAGTTTTGAATGTAGAACCATCTAATTTCGTGAAATCTAAGTTAGTTAGCATAGAAGATACTCAATATTAAGAAGAGAAAAACAAACAATTTAGCTATTATTCGTGACTTTTACTACACATAATACTGACTAATTCTTCCGAGTGCATGCAGTATTCCGTGTGAGAGAAATGATTTGAGAATAGAACACCCGACTATATTTGTAGTAACGCTGAAATAATTGAGTACTACTCAATATTGGGTGAAGTAAAAAGTAATCCATTCCTTTTGCAATGGTTGACTTTAGTAAATTACATCTTACGTTCTATAAGTCCGATCGGATTACGCTAGATGGCATTAGAAAGACGATCTTTTTTTTTTTAAATAAATAATGGAAAAAGAGTTGGTCACTTAACTCAGTAGAGTTTGAGCGCATGTCAGACCTTATATTAAAATAGCAAAAAAAAAAAAATACGTTATATTCTACAATTGTTTTTCGATAGAGGCGGAAACTCAAGTCAGGCGGCTGAAAATCTAAATGGTGTTTATGGACGTGACTGTTACAGTAGTCAATAATACAGGATTTTGGTTTCGTCGATTTAATTCCGATAATTATGGTGTCGAAAATGTCGAAAAAATGAAGGAAATCCTCAAGTCTGACCGTCTTGCTGTAAGAGGATCTTCTAGAACAACGTTAAGCGAAAATGTGAAACGGTCGTGGTTGGAAAGCAGCGCGCCGGCACAAACGGCCTTCAAGCTAGAATTCACGGTCAGGAAGATTCTGTTTGATGGGTTTGGCAAGGAATCATTCGCTTGAAGCTTCTCCGCTAGGACCAAACGCTTAATTCGGACCTGCATTGTCAGAAATTGGGTGGACTATAGGAAGCAATCACCCAGAAGCGCCCAACAGGCTTTGGTCAATAGGAGAGGATTATGATTTATGAGTACAAGGCCTAATCACAAACCACGATAGTGACTCGCCAGAAGCTCCGAGAGCTTGATTGGGTAGTTGTTATGCATGCGCCTAAGAGTTTTGACTACGCATCAAGCGATTACCATCTGTTCCTACCTCTGGCGAATAATTTGGTTGTCGAAGAATTGGCCTCAAGAGAAACCTGTGAAAATCTATTGGCCCAATTTTTCACCAGCAGCGTTAGGGGTTTCCATGAGAGAGTCACAATGATATTACTATAAAAATGGCAAAAGGTTATCGAACAAAGCTTAAACAAATAATTCTAATTACGGTAATTGAAGCCTTCAATATGGAACAATAAAAGTAGATAATTTTAACGAATAAAAAATTGAAACATTTTTGCTTTTCATTTGTGAGTATGTTTATGTTTATTTGTAAATAATATTCCCCTTAATTGATAACATTAATAAAATCGTTTATTAAATATGGATATAATAGTAAAAGTTAAAGGGAAAGAGAAGAGTATTAAATAAGTGTTTCTAAATCAGTTTTTTCAAAATAAAAAAAGTCACTACGAAATTGAAGAAAATTATATTAGATTAAAAAAAATTTACTTTTTGCTTCTCGCTATGAAAATAAGAAATTAAAAACGGGTTAGTAAAGAAAACGAAAGAAAACTACTAATTTTTACCAATTCACATTATTGAAAAAAAATTCAAATTTTTTTAAGTGCATAATTAACATTTGAAGAGAAGTAAGCTCAATCAAATAGAGAAGTCAAAGAGAGAGATAGCGATAGAGTACTGTGTGCGTCTTCTATAGTGTGCAATAAGTTGTTGTTTTAAGTGTCTATTTTTTATATCATATACATAATCGTATACTCCATTTGAACTTAGTACATATGTATATACTATGTATATATGTGAGACATAATTTCATATATTTTGTATATTTATAAGTATGTGGTATGCAAATAAATGTATAAGTAGTAGAAAGAGTGTCTAGTACAATAGTTTTCGCCGCCCTGAAATATATAATACAGATCAAAAGTGAGAATCGAAAAAATGGCAGTTTAAAAAAAAAAATAATAATATTAATTATAGTATAAAGAAATATGTTTTTTTTTTTGTTTACCTAAAATAGATTTAATGCTAATTTCAATTTGAACAAACACGTATGTGCAGCACAGAGCGTGGGAGAGGAGAGAGAGTGAGGGAGTATTGCTATATGGATATATACAAGTGAAATGAGTAAACATTGAAGACATACATACATATTTTTTATACAAAACATTGCTTTATTGCAGAAGAGTAATGTGTACTTTGATGATTTTTTCACAATATTTGGGATCTGTTGTCTCTCACACAGCCTATAACTTTGGTTGGTGTCTTAGAGAAGATAGAATTGATAAGACTTCCTCAAGAAAAATGGCTTCTTTTGAATAATTTTGACTATAAAATTTATTTAATTAAATAAAAAAATACGGAAATTTTTATATTTGTTTATACTTTTTTTTTCGAGCTTCAAGCTAGTTCAAAGCTTTCATGTAAGGTTTATAGTATACAAGGTTACGACAACCGTTGACGTCACCTTACCAACTTCGTCATATAAACAGTGGGCGGCACTTGACATTTATATAATAAAAATAAATATTTTTTTTAACTTTTATATGTATGTAAATATGGGAAAAAAAAAATATATATATACAGCGGAATACATAAATCACATGATACTTTTACTCAAGTACGCAGTAGTACTCAAGATGCCGCAGTCACAGACTTGACTATTTTTTATTAAAAAAAAAGCAGAAAATTAGCAAACAAGCTACGGAAAAAAGGCAGAGGCTGCTTTGATCAAACCTGGGCTCAGGCAGCCGCAGACTACCAAATGTGAATAAGAGCTTTTTTTCCTTTTGTAAGCAATACCTTATTCTGTCAAATATATCATATTGCTAACTATACGATGAGTTCAAGTTTTCTTAAGGGGTTAAATAGATCATGAAACTTCAATAAATACATTTTTTTTGAAATTTTTTGTATAAAAGTACAAAGTGTCGGAAATATTTTTCCCGAGTTTTAGGTCGATCAAGACGAAACTGTAGAAATTAGAGAGTTTTATAACCCACCGTCTTTGTTATGGCTTAACCGATGGCGAAATTTTAAAACCGTTTTTCTTAAAACCACTTCATCGTAATCGGTAGTAAAAATTTCTCAACGACTATTGAAGCGATCGAATTTAAATTTTCCACACTTTTTTTAAGAACGAAGAATTTATTTTATCTTTGACTTCAACTTATTTTACAAGCCAAAATGTGTCCTAATTTTATGCAAAAAATGACGTTTTTTTGTAAAAGAAAAACCTACAAAAAATACAATTTCTCATTTTTTTTTTAATTTTTCTTCGTTCAGGTACAAGGCTGCTTTACGAAAAAATTTGGATTTTTGATTTCAGATAAAATGTTATCATGACTACCGCGAAAGCACTTTCTTGTGGACGGTCGACTTCACGGCACTGCCAACGCCTTAATTATACTATTTTTCATTCAAATTTTCATCAAATGTTGTTCACATATTGAAGTTTTATATGCAAACAAAATAAATTGTACACTTTATTTAGTATTTTTTTTTTTAAATTAAAGAAAATAAACTTTTTTCTGGCCTTCAAGAACTATGTAACCCCTTAATGCCAAAACTTCAAGTTTCATCCCAAAAAACCCAAAAAACTGTATCATTAAATTTATGGAATGGTGCTTAACGAATATGCTAGAATGCCGCATTTATATTTTAATTTGTAAGTACACCTTAATATAAATCACGTATACAACACTGCACACTTCTTCACCGCTTCGATTTTTTGAATAAAATTTTTTCACAAAATAAGAATTATCCATTTCCCAAATGCTTTTTAGCAGACAAAGGAAATATGTGAAAATTTTTTTCCATAACAAATTTTTAAAACTTTTTAGGATTTTTTCCATGAATTTTGATAATTTATAACGATTTTGACGTTATTTACTCATGCCATTTTGTATTACATGACACCAAAAGTTAGGCATTAAACAATGCAGAACGTTTTAATTGGAATTGTTATTAATTAAAACACAAAAAACCATCCAAGGTTTTAGGGGTTTAAAGCCAAAATGTTACGTTGTTTCATAAAAAAAATTATGTACATTTTTTGCTAAAATTTCGGCAATCCACAAATTGAATCAACTTCGGCATTAAGCATATGATTTCCATCTTGTCGTAACCTTCTATTCTATAAACCTTGGCTTTCGTGTGTATAAACAATAAATAATTTTTTTTATATTCTATAAAATTTGCAGTTTTTTTTTTTTTTTAGAAATATGTGCATTTAAAGGAAGGATTATAGGATATAGAAGTGTGTATGAAAATATCAGTCATCTGAAGAACAGTGATAACTCATAGCATGCACACACAAAAAATTATGTAGGTATGTATGAATTGCGACCGATAATTATCTGAATGATTTTCTGTGTGAATGTGAAAAAAAAATTTAAGGTTGTGCTCATAGTTCTTACTGATGCAGATTTTCAGGTAATTTTTTTATGAAATTTCTGATTGGTACTTATATTTATAAAAAAATAAAAATAAATAAAAAATAAATAAAAAAGTAAAGATACATATTTATATATGTACATGCCTATACTCTAATTTAAGGAGCGTTGAGTTATGCAGTAGATAATGAATTTTTGGTTGTGAATTTTATTATACAAATTTTTATCCTTTTAATACAATTTCAATTGAAGTTTTAAAAAATTTTTAAAATTTGTGATCTAAATTTTTGTAAATTTCAAAAAAAGTTTTTTTTTTTATTTATAATTATTTTATTAAAATTTTAATATATTTTTCAAAATGACGCATTTCTCAACAATAGCAAATAAGTTCTCGCCAAGCGCTTATGGAGAGAAGACATTTCTGAGAAATTTTTCATGTAATTTCCTTAAACACATTGTTATTTCTGTTTGAGAAATGAAACCACTTAAAAAATCCATTTCCACCATTTCTTGTCGTAAACCTGAATATTTGTTCTTAAATAATTTTTATATTAGGTCAATAATAAAGTTCGTTTGGTTCTTTTTTGATTTTTCAAAGTATGATAACTTTGCATACATTTTTCCGATTTAAGTCAAATATGCGCCGTTTTGTTCGTAAACGAGCGGCCAACTTCATTATACCCCTCTCGTAGAAGGCTACGTTCCTATTGGCAAAAAACTCAGAGATCCAATTTTCTCAGGCCTCTATTGAGCTCAACTTCACACCACTGAGCGCGTACGCCATGGACAGGAAGAGATGATAATCACTTATTGCCAGGTACGGACTATAAGGTGGATGCATTAAGACCTCCCATCCGAGCTCCTGGAGCTCCTGGCGCATCACCAAAGACGTGTGTGGCCTGGTGTTGTCCTGATGGAACACAATTCAGCCTCTTTTGATCAAAGATGGCCTCTTCAGGATGAGTGCTGCCTTCAGGCGGCCCATTTGTTGGCAGTAGAGGGCCGAATTGAACGTTTGACCATAGGGGAGCAGCTCTTATTGGAGGATTCCTTGTCAATACCACCAAACACACAGCAAAACCTTCCTGACATTCAATCCTGCCTTGGCCACCGTCTTCCCCCGAGCTTTGACCACGACTGCTTGCGCTCGATGTTGTCGTAAGTGACCCATTTTTCATTGCCTGTAACAATCTGCTTCAGAAACGATTCAGCAATTCGCAAATGGAAATTCGGTCCATGAAGAAAAATTGTAAAATATAGAGAATTTTCTCTTTGCTGGTTGGTGTCCATCTTTGACGAGCGCTCACAACGTACTCAGTCAACCAATCAGAAACTGTCAAAAACAAAAACTGATTCTGAAAATTCTTGCAAATTTATACTTCACGCGGTCACGTCGTAGAACGAGAGTTTAAATTAATTGCTGGAAAAAAATTCATTATCTACTGCACGCGTCATGAATATGGAATGCGGATTTTGCGTGATTAAAAAATATTTAAAAAAAATTTAAATTTATTGTTATTAAAAAATATTTGTGATTTGAGTGCGCTTTTCAAATGGCATTTGAATATTGTGAATATCAAAAACAAGAAAGACAAAATTATAACCAAATTGGAAGTGGAATTTAAAAATAAAAAATTGTATAAAATAAAATAAGAGAAAATCCATTTTAAATGAGTGACTGAATATTTGCGACTTGTGTCAGAGAACGATAAACGCCATAGGGATTAGTACATACACATACAAACATACATATATATATATATATATATATATATATATATATATATATATATATATATATATAAACAGGGATTAAGGCAAAGAGACTTTAAGAGCTTTTCGGCGAGTGTCTTTCGCTCGCAGCTCAGCACACTTGTACATACCTTCCACATTGACCTCGATGTCCTCCAAACGACCGCCAGTGTGATTGATAACAAAAGAATTTGGCTGATGCACGGGACCGGGTCCGCCCAGTGACACTTGTGGGCCGGACATGCCGCCACTGATGTTCACCGTAAGCGGACAACCGGGCACCGGCATTTTATTGAAAGTCACATTGATGGTATGCTCACACGCCTCGGTTGGCACAAACGAAACGGAGAATCTGTGTGGTGAAAAAAATTAAAAATAAACGTTTAAAAAATTTGTGAAACTTTGCAGTTTTCCAACAAAACTATTCACCTTGCACTGCCCTGCGGATGCACCTGCGTCGGTATATTCTGCCCCTTCGCCGAAATGGTAATCTCCAAATTACCCTCACCTGCATCGCCGGCGTCCACAGTGAATTGCACAGGACGGCCAACAGTGCCACGTGACACGCTACCCACCGTCACTTTGGTGGCATCATAAGATTTCGCCAAGAACGGTGTGCCTTGTACGGCGAAACCATTATATTCCACATTGATTGTGTGCCCACCCACGGTGGTGGGCGTGAACTCGGCTGTAAAGCCAGCATGTATATCGCCAGTTACACGCACCGGCAATTCACCATGCGGACCACGTACACTAACCGCCAATTCAGCAGCACCACCACCACTAACAGTTATATGAAACGAAGCTGGCCGATTGACGGGTATCAACTCAAGATTCGACAAATTCAACATTACTCTCGACGTATCGGCAACTGGACATACGAATGGACAGCCACGTACTGTCTCACCATTAAATTTAATATCGATTAAATGTGATTTAGCTTGCTCCGGTGTGAAGGAGACCAAACAACGGCCACCGCCAACGACTTGCACGTGATTCGGTACTTCGCCTTCGTTAATCGATATCTCTAGCTGACCCTCGCCAGCAGCGCTCGCATCGACACGGAATTGACACGGTTGCCCGACAACACCGCCATTCACATCGGTCACTTGTATTAGACTCGCATCGTAGACTTTGGCGATCAATGGACCGCCGGCAATTTTCGTGCCATTTATCGATGCCTCAATGATGTGTGTACCCACTTCGGTGGGTACGAATTCGATGCGTGCAGCACCATTTGCCGCCTCATGGGTGACTCTGGCATTCAGTTTGGACTTGGTTGGTGTCAAAACTGTTGCCACGCACTCGCCCTTACTTAGGCTTTGTCCAGGAGGCGGCAGTATCTCAAAAACCGCCGGCGTGTTGGCGGGTACAAGGCGTGTCGATTCGCCCAGTGCTGTTAGACCGGGTGTGGACATGATTTCAACGTGCCACGGTGAACCTGAAAGTAAATGAAAACAAAAAGAAAGATTAAATTGTGGTCTAAGTAAAGAGTACTATTAAAAATATTCGAAGAGCAGATCAAAAAAAGTATCTGGAGTTAAAAAAGGAAGATATTTTGTCTAGAAATTGTTTCTTAAATGTTTAAAAATATCAGAAAGGCCTTGTGGTCATGATGGGTCAAAAATCGATTAACAGAAAAACACTCTTCAAAAAGACACAAAAAGATAGAGCGGGCCGATATTCTTTTCAATGACAGGGAGATTTGGGGATTGGAAAAGACCCGTGATCCGTGCCAAGACGAAATAATAAAGTCGTAAATAACTTCGTCTATCTTAGAAGCAATATTAACACCAACAACCACGCCAACCAACACAGAATTACTCTTGCCAACTGATGCTAGTTTCAAATGAGCGGCAATCGAATAGTAAAGACCGCTCTCGGCGAACAAAGACCATTGCACTTTTCGAGAGCAAGGTTTTGCGTAAGATTTATGGTTCTCTTCGAGTGGGAAACGATGAACACCGCCGCCGAAGGGACGGTGAACTGTACGAGATATACGATGACATTGATATAGTACAGCGAAAAAAGAAACATCGGCTACGCAGGTTAGGCCCTGCGGTCCGGGAAGATTAAGACATTTACTTTGTTGAAAAGACAAGACAGAGAAGGACCTGGCTGTACTTGGCATTTCCAATTGGCGCCCAATAGCGAAGGAATGAATGATTGTTCACGCTGTTATTAACTCGGCTATAATCGCGCAACCGGTGTCTACGCCAATAAAGAAGAAGTAGAAGATGTGGAGATTTTTTTGGGAATAGATCTGCCACTGGTTTTATTTTATCTATGGGATCACACACAGTTTTTCAGAGCTCTTTGCTAATAAAAAAAACTGTCTATTTTTTACTCAGAGCTCTTTTATTTCAATTGAGCATTCTCAGTTCTTCGAGTAACCCTTTCTTCGGGAAAATTTATTTTTAATATCTCCATTGAATTATTAACATCGCAGTTTTCCCACTTTCTCAACACTTTTCTAATAATTTATCACAGTTTATATTTTTATTAACGAAAGAAAAATTATGTCTTGCATTAGATTTTGCTTTTTTTTATTCCTTTTATTCTATTCCCCTGAACCGCAGCTTTTCCCAGGCCAACAGCTGTCGCTGATGTTATCGGCAAGCTTGGAAATTGTTCAGGTGCGACTTTTCCCTCATAATTTTTTGTTACACATAAATTTTTCCTCTCACTTTGTTGAGATTTTTTCCTCCTAAACATAGTATTTCCCTGCTATTTGCAATATTTCATTTCTTTAGCGTCTTTTTTTTAATTCTTTTTACGTTGCTTTTGCTATTTTTGTTTCGGCTCCTCCGTGTGTTGCATGAAGTCACTTTTTAATTGCATTACGGTACTCTACATTGTTAAATTGCCCAGTTGTGGCAAGAAAAAAATTTATTGTGCTGAAAGCTTCATAATTGTTTTGCAAAATTGATGAAGTAAAGACTGTCTTGCTGCTGTAGCAGCGAAGCGAAATGGGCAGTGGAAAGTGTTTAGAGATGAGTTGTAGAGCCAAAGTTGCCACAAAATTTTGTGAGAAACTTTTTTTTTTTTTGTATTTTTGTAGTCCATAAGTAATGTTTAAAGAATGGAAGAATTTTTTTTTAGAACAAAGCTGGGTGAAGCGTTTGTGAGTTGGAAAAAAAATACAAAATAAAAAACAAATATTTTTTTAAGAAAGATTAATCAAAAACCGATGAAGAAACGATTGTATATCTCTATTTTTGTTTTTGAATTTAGAATATATAAAGAGTAAGTTCGAGCAAAACGGTGGAAGGAATGACCTGGCAAACGTGCGCAGTGATTAAGTGAGAGCTATCGTCCTCTCTCACTACAAGAGAGGCCTTCGTGTCGTGGTGAAATATTTTATAATGAAGAAGTTGAGCAATTGAGTGACTGTGTTGATATTTTAATACTTTTCGAAACTAATTTTTTATAAGGATCACTTCATAATCCCTATTTCGATAACCTTGACAGAGCATACACAAGACAATTTTTAAATATCCGACGGCATAAAACAGGCTTAACAAAAAAATTTGTATGGCCAGGGTTCGAGTTCTTATCTGACCAACAACCAAAATTTTAAAATATTAATTTTTCTAATATCGCTCGCCCCTCGGCAGGCTATGTGAAACCCCACGAGTATATTTTTTTATGGAAAAAAGCTCTTAATAAAAATTCATCTGCCTTTCGGGGGCGCTTAGTATAATTTGTAGGTACCTCGACTTGTGGGAAAAACGTACACCAAAATTCAAAGAAGGTGCTCGTCCTATGATCCCGGTTGCATATACCAATTTCTATTAAATTTTCCTAGTTGGTGAGCGTATGCGATGAGAGAAATTTTAGTCTCAATAACAGAATACTTGATTTGCTTCTTCAAACGACTTTAACATAGGTGATACGTAATATGTATATATATATATATATCTATCTATCTTGGTGCGGCGCTTATAACCACTGTGGCGATTTATGGCCGAGCTCCACCTAAAATTTTTGATATGCGTCTTGATGTTTTTCCAACAAATGGAGTGACCTCTAAGCCGCCTCCGAACGATGGATTTTCATTAGAACTTTTTACTTCAAGTCAGACACACACTCGGAGGGCTTGACATTCCCTATCGGAAGCAAAAAAAAATAATTTTCCATAATTCCAGACGTTGGTCGAACCAGAACTCGAACCCTGCCCTTCTGAATGGCCGTACGCAATGCTAACCACTCGGCTCGTCCAGCTGCAAAAATACATAAAAAATATTTTTGCACAAATTTACTTGCCACATGGCATCCCACGAACAAATGCAAAGTCTTTTCCATCTTTTCCGACCGTCCATCATAAGCCTACAAAAAGTTATCAAATTAATTTATTGAAGTTTTACAATGTCGGCTAACCATCGTCGCACTTGTGAACTTAATAATAAAATTGCAACTTGTTGCAAGATGGTCGAGAAAATGCTTAGTGAGGGCTTGGGTGTGTGTGAGTGTTTGTGTAGGGAGAGCAATTATTAGTGTTGTGGCCATAAACTTTAGCCAATTCATTCATAATTCACTGGCAGACAATAGACTAGATTAATGAATTTGTGGTGAACAACGTCGGCCTGAACAGAGCGCAAGGTGCGCACAATACGTAAGTTGTGTGTATGTACATATGTATACAAACCAAATCGGAGTAGCCTAAATGGCTTAAGTATATACATATATATGTATATGCAAATGTATGCTACTCAGGCCTAAGTTAGCAGGGAAAGTGTGTAATTCTATCGGTCACTTGAGCTACTGCTGCAATGTGCGCCAAGAGGAAGAACAACAACAGTACGCTACTCGAACCTGACGCTACAGCACTTTGAGACGTAGCGAAGCAGAAGTCATTTAGGCGCGTAGGCATGCAAAAATGATTGGCAGAGCCGGACATTGGTCGGGTCGGGTCGCTTGTGAGTTTCTCAGTGACTAGTTAGAGCAGCAGTAGTTAGTCGTGCCATTCCGGGAGTGCGTCTGTCCGTCCATCTATCCGTCAGTGATGCAACGAAGCGTGGCAGGCAACATGCACGCCTTCTTCAACTTCTTCTTCACTTGTACTGCCTCTTCTTTTTCGTATGGTAGTCAAGGTATGTGACAGCGAAGGCTTTCTGTTGTGCTGTGGCAATGTAGCGTGGAAAAGTCTTTATGGGTGAGTACAAACATTTAGAATCAAATGTATGTGTATGTATGTATGTGTGTATGCTTTTAGGCATGTATACCATCTAGCTAAGTTGCTACAGTTTCGTTCGTTCTGGGAACTGATGATGATGATGAAGACGACGTTGATGATGACTTACAAGTTTGGTCAAAAACCGAGTGTTGCAAGTGTACAGGCAAGCATACAAATCTATGTACATAGATGTGTTTATGTATACATAAAAAGGCATGTACAACCTGCGCGTTGCCGAGAAAAAGCCATGCACTTGCCACTTGCTACTTGCCGCTTGCCATTTGCAACTTGCAACTTCCACCTTAGCAGGCCGCAAGCAGCTGCTCACTCACCACTCAACTAAGCCAGCCGGTCACCCCCCTTCTTTTTTTTTTGGTCAAGTTCATGGCAGCGCATTGTAGAGCAAGCAGTGCTCTTGCTTCTTGTTGCTTGAAAGGAATGTAGAAACAGTTTTGTTGCTGCTTGTTTGGAGGCGCGTAATTGTAGACACTCTGCATAGCTGCAGATACACACATATACATATACATACTTGTAAGTTGTGGTGCTTTAGCTTGGAGCGGCTGTTGTTAATGAATGCGTTTCAGTTTGGCTACTCTAGCGTTCTTAGCGCTTGCTTAGTTGTTTGCTTTTGTCTTCGGCTAGCTTTTTAACGTTGCAACTATAGTTGTTGTTGTTATTGTTTTTGTTGTTGCTGTTTATGGCTAGTTGCGCATCTTACAATTTTGTCATTATTCCTACAATACGTAACTGTAATATTAAGCTGTTGCCGTAGCGCTTCTTCTTAATAGCAGCCACCCTCCCACACTCTCTCTCTCTCCCACTCTCTCACTGCTGCACTTTCATTGCGGTGCTAAGACCCGTAGCATCTCCATTTAATTGTTTTTGCAATTAAACTCTTTCCTTGAGTTGCATTTTAACGGTTTCGCGTCTTGAGTTTGTTTCAGAAAATTTTATGTTAATATAAAATACATAAAAATATATGTATATGTGGGTGTGGGTGTGGATGTGCGTGTGTTAGCACTACACAGGCACATAAAAGTGCAAGCTTTCAAAATAAACAATTAAAATTTTATGTTAATGAGAACTTTTGCACACAGAGAGGCGGAAGCAAGAAAGAGGTAGAGATTTTAGTTTGTGTGGAATCTGGATTAAGTTGATGCTTTCGGTAAATTAAACAAAAATAAGTAAGTTTCAACACTGTCATTTTGTATTTATATATTGTTTAGATGCCTACTAGCGAGGTTGTGCACTGGGTTTGGGACTCG